TGTAAATATTATCTGTGTAGTGAAATAAATACTGTTTTTTTATTTGTCTCTTTGTGTTTATACATAATTGCTTGAATTTCACAATGTATTAACATACAATCTTGTGAAGGTTAAGTGTGATATAAACAAACTTCGATATGTTTTAGACCTAGATCTTTCTTTCGCAACATGTGATAAGAAGACACAAAAAAATTTTGTCAAGTAAGATTATTTGTAAATCAATATATTGAAAAAGTGGAATATTTTTGTTCAAAAAAGTTCCTTTCAAATATGATCATTAATAAAAAAATTGAGAATTGATCTTAACTAAATTAAAATTACAAAAAGTACCTAAATGTATTATTCTGATTCAAAACATGCATGGTAACACAATATCACTTAAAATTATTTCTTACAATGAATTTCTCAAACTATTTTTAAAAATATTTCTCAATGAATTTCTCAATTATTTCTCAAAATGGATTTCTCAAAAGCTGGAATGAAGAGTCCTTTATTTTCATATGTTCATTAATTATCATTATCTTTAGTTTTGATAACTGATATATGCTCTCCATAAAACTTCACCTTGTTATCAATCAATAAAACTATAACAAGCTATACTGCAAATTTATTATCCAAATCCAATATAATGTTTTGAAATCACCTCATCAATAAATAAATTAACTTAAATTCTGAAATATTTTTTCATTGATGCAATATGTTTCGACTTTAAAATTGTGAGAGCTAAACATTTTGCAAGATTAAATTGCAACAAATGCATAAATATTTAAATGCAGTTTTAACACCGTTTTACAAATTTTGATGCTAATACATCATACCTAATAATAAAAAATTGGACTTGTTCTATAATTCGAAAAAAAAAGAATTTGATATGATACCCATTGACTTCATTTTCATTTTTAATTTTGACATCTAACAACCAAAACCAAACTATTATCAATTTTGAAGCATGTCATTGTGTAGATTTGAAGCATGTCATTATGTCAACTGTGACATTCTGTAATGAACATTGGATAATGTCAATAGTCCCACTGTCAATTGAATAATTGACATTGGGATGCGTAAATTTTAAATGTATCTACCAAAATATTCATATACACTTTTATTTTTTATCTATCAAATACACATTGAATCAATTATTTTTACTTAATCATGAAATTTTCGAAATCATGTAAAATTTGTTACTTTTGAAAATAGAATGTTAAGAATTCTAATTTTTGAAACGTAAATGTTATTTGACTTTTGTATCTTTTAATATTAAAGAAATTTTTTGTTTAAATTGACGAAGTTATTCACAAAATATCATAAACATTGAATACTCTTTATTATTGCATATTTCTACACATATGTCGATAAAAAATCAAATGAATTATATTATTTCAAGACTTATTTAATCTGAATGTAATAACTCTTACAAAATAACGTATTTCAAATTCAATGGATCTATAGTTTGATTATAAAAACTTAAGCAATCTATTCAACACATGATTATGTTTCCACCTTCACGAAAATTGATTTTTAGATTTTTTTTTATGTGAAACTCATATCCAACAATGTACAAGTCTGATCATTTTTAGATTCATAATCTGTCAACAAAATATTGATTAATATGAAAGAAATTTGAATTCTTGAAATCAATAAATAAAAAATTTCACTTTCTAAAGTAAAAATTTATTTCAGCTTATTATCAAAAGTTCAAACTTCTGCATACAAATAGTATATCCTTTCCAAAAGATTTATGGGTTGCTATCAAAGTCTTTAATTTTTTTCTCTCAAATTGTAAGATAGATAAATATACTCATATATCAATTTTTTAAATAATTTACTAGATTTATTTTATATTATTTAAGTAAATATGTTAAATTTTATTTTTTTATGTTTTGAGTTTGATAGATTGATATTTTCTACTGCTTTTTATATTGTTCAAGAAAATGATATAACTAACTACAAATTTACTTGTTTGACGTTATTTTTTTCATAAAGATAAATGTTATTTGTAAAACAACAAGATTTTATTTTTTTCAACACAAAAGCTCAAATTTTACGTTTCAAATGATTTCAACAGGGTTTGAAGGTTTTTTTGGAAATCACTTTATATATTAAATATTCAAAAAAATTAAAAAATTGTACATGACTTGCATTTAAAAAAAATCTTATTTATTTATATTAAACCTGAATTTCATCTTGTAAACCATGAGTGAATGAGTCATCTAACTTATACATATTCAGAAAAATTGAATAATCATTACATTTGAGATATAATTGATAAATCAAATTTTTATTTCGAACTTCAAAAAACTGTTTCAATATAATTATATTAAAAATTCCGAAATCGGTATAATTGCAAAATTATATCACATGATGAAATTTAAATTTGGAAAATATTTTGATTTTCTTTCACTATATGTTCAAATTGCACAATATAAAATATTTTTATTTAAGCATATATGTATTCTTTTAGTCAGAATGTTTTAGTCTTCATTTAGTACTTATATTATCTTTTTCAAATACTTTAATATATCTAAAAAAATCAATTAAATTTATAAAATAATAATTTTTGATTTATTATACAAATAAGATTATCTTGAATTTGAAATTTGCTAAAAGCTTCATGAATTAATTTCTGAAATTTTTCTTTCACAGTATGGCTTTCAATATCATAGAGTTTTGTATACTTATTGTTTATAACAAAATTTTCAAATATTTTCAAGTGAAAATTACCTTATAAATAAATTTTATCATAAAATCATTCAAAACTTGCTGTACAAAAATTTTATTATAAAATGACGCATGAATTTTATATGACATTAATTCTAGTGTGTTGACTTGATTATAACGATAAGCCATGCAATGAAATTAATAATTGAAATATTTTAAATGACATTATTTTTATATACAGAAGTTCTTAATAATTTTTCCTTACAAAATATTACTCTAAGTTATTAATTAATTGTTAAAGTTAACTCTGGTTAAGGATAAATCTAGTGTACTAGCTAAAAAAAGCTAGAACAGTGGCTTGGACTGAGTGTCAAAAATACCAAGGGTTCTGAACTTTACAGATATTTTTCAGTTATTCTAGAAAACTCTCACGAGAGTTCCCTTATATTTTGGTCTCGCTGTTGATGTGATTTGATTTATTGTTTAATGGTTTTTGGAATATATCCTGTTATTAATAACGTGATTTTTTTTTTTCATAGCACATAGTTTAAGAATGATAAATTTTATAGATTAAATTTAAAATTATCATTTTGCATGAATTAAATAGATAAAAAAATTGTAATGGAAAACTAATATTTCAGACAATGCTTTAAATCCATAGAATATTTATTGATCAAATCATGATGTGATAGAGAAAAGAACTCCTGTATATACTCAATGTATCTGAAATCTTATCAGTTTGAAATGTTTGTGGAAATAATTTATCAAATCATTCTTTTTTCAATTTCTGCAATCATGTTTGTTGTAGTTTTTACCATTTTTTTATCCATTATTGTTTCTCAATAAAAAATTTTATTTCCAAAATTTTCATTTCTATATGAAAAATTCAAGATTTTTATTATTATGTGTTTTTATTATCATTTTTTTATTAAAATACTTAAATTTATTCAATGAACAGATAAATCATCAACAGAATTTTGATATGATATATTTGTAAACTGATTTTCCAGTTTTGATTTTAAAAAGTGAGGTTTTTATGATATACTTATCAATTTTACATATTGAGAATTATGTGTTTTATTACTCTTATTATTTTCAAAAAATATGTTTTTGAAGTATCATTATATAGTGATGAATGCAATGAGGCATGATTGTGATTGTTAAAAAAACATAACAATGAAACAACTTTGATAAATTTGTTGGAAAAAGATAGGGATATAACATTTTTGATGATAAGTAAATTTCTGTAATGAGCTAAGTTTTTTCAGACAGCTATTATATTTAGTAAGTGTCAAAATTTGTAAATTTTTTTTATACACTGGATAATATTGCGTTAGGAGATTTCATTCATGAGTTTAATATATACGTATAGAAAATTATATGTTGACATTGTTTTATGACATTGAGAAAAATAATTTGATTAGAAATTTATCAATTCAATATATGAAATTTAGTTTCAATTATGTTAGTTTGGATAAGAATTGTATTTGTAGTTGTTATTCACACATTTGGCATAAAAATATGAAATTGCAAGCATGTAAGTTTTATCATTGTTGGATATCAAATCGTACCTTGAATCTCTTTTTTTATTAATGTTGTTATAGCAATGTTTATTTTTATCAAATCACGTAGGATTTGATTCACTTTACATTTTAAATTTTGATGGAATTCTTTATTCTTATCTGAAGTTTGCTCAAAGTTGATATAAATAGATCTAAACTTGAATTAAATTGTGGAGATAACATATGAAAAATACGTGTGTATTCACCATTCACTAGTACTTCAATATCCTATGATTTTTTATTCACAATGAACATGATTGTACAGTATGCTGAACTTACTGGTGATCGTGGAAAAGAATTATGCTTTTTACTCTCAAGCACAAACATTTTAGCAATGAAATACTGTAACAGTACTTTTACTACCATATTTCAAATCATATCTTCTTTCAAACTGATGAATCCATAGAACAATATAATTTGCCGACAAGGAATTAATTAAGCAAGGAAATAGCATCTGTGTATCAGTAATCATCCATGTGATCTTAACTCAGACTAATTTGTTCTGTCGCTTAGAGTATTTGTTCGTACCATGCCTCTTGATCACAACATAGGAGTGATTCATTATATTGACCGCATGTCATATATTGACATGTTATGCACGACATCCACTCCATGATACTTAAACAAATTGAACTTGGAGTATCAACTTCTTCTTAGGGTTGTGACTTTTCTTGAGGTGGTGCACTCTTTCAACTGTATACACTTTGCCGGTTCCCTTATCTTTCGAGGCCTCTCGTGACTTTCGATTCTTTGAACTATATCCATTGCGTCGGATATTTGGTTTCTCCCGAGTGATATGATTCTCATCTAGTAGATAAACCTGTTCGTCGACTAAGAAAAAATGAAAGTAGGGAAGAATAATACAGTGGGGGTTAAATCCACGAGGGGTAGGTCGACTTAGTTGGATCACAAAGCAGAACAAAATGAGGAAAAGAAGTTCCTCTTTCAAGACATGTTGCAGAGAAAGGACAAGAGAAACTGAGCATGGCAGAGGGCAGAGAGAGAGGCGTCGATGGGTTTCACATTATTGAAAAGTTTTGTTCGGGTTATTAAAGGCAGCGTGTACTTTTTTCAGACAAGCAAAATTTAGGCAATCTGCTCTGCTGCTCCATGCAGACCAGCCCTATTAGGGCAATCAGGCAATGTCCCAGTTTGGACTACAGGCTGAGCATGCAGTCAAATTTGGACGAGAAATCCAAATCCAGTCCAAACAGTGGATGAGATCTGACTCAGGGAGAAAATGCCAACGAGATACGGTAAGAATACGTGGTGTCTGGAGCCTCAGTATCGAGCTGTGGCAAGAAACCGAGTCGAATGATACTTTTGGCATGTGGTGGTTCGGTCGAAATGATGCGATTCATGTCTGGAAGATCCTCCGTATTCTAAACTTGGCCGCGCCCTCATATTCTTCAGTTATAGCAGCCCACGATGGGATTCCAATTTGGCCATTGGAGAGGATCCTGTTTAGTAAGTTAGTTAGAGCAAGTGATGTCTGGACGATTCTCTCATTATCAAGATGCAAGACGATCCGCAGGTTTCCCTGAGAAAGCACGGAGGTCAGGCACAGGCATTGTCTTAATTTGCGCACCGAGACAATCCTGTTTCAACCCCGACTGCTTTTTCCTGATGTCTGGACAACTCCTATCCGGACGAGCGCTAGTTGTTGGCTATTATCTGGGCTTTACGAGCGGAAATCAACTGCCGCGGATAACTTTAGGATCGGGCCAGATTGCTTGTGCCACCGGTGTTAAGCTCCATGGCCCGTCGAGACAATCCTGCAGACGAAGTCGTTCGAGGTGAATGATGTCTGGACGATGCTTCCTCCATGTGCTCGCTCGCTACACTGGGGCGCTCTCCTTCCTTTATTGGGGCACGAGGACCATGACTACTGTACGTTAATGTACGCCTCCGTCGTCTACCGCAGCTTGACGTTGCTCCCATACGGCGACATGGACCCGACCGATCGCCTTCGACCGCGTGACGAGGAACTGCTTGTCTTCGATTAGGTGTAACGCTGACGACGTCGTCGACGGTGGATCTAGATTCTCTCGAGGACGGATCCATCGGACGGTGGAGGGTGTGGACCAGAGGGACGTCGTCCACCGTGTTAACCCTAATTAGGGGCATGATGATGCAAGTCTGCGGCCGAGTGGGGCAAAGCAAGCTCCTACCGCGCACCTGAGCCATGAGGCGATGGTCAAGATCCAGACAGTCGCTTTCCCACTTCACATGCTCTGACTAATGCCAATATTTTTGGATACCGGAAAGTCGAAGTGAACGAGACGCAAGGAATGCAAGCCAGATGGTCTGAAGAGCAGCCTTCGGAATGAAGATGAGTATGCCCTTTGCTAACCCTACGGCAGTCAATCGATCGATAATTTAACTTCCATGAATCAATTCATGTATTTGTCACTCGTCCTAGTTACGAAAAGATTAGGCTTGCTCATTATATATATGTGGAGAATTTTTATTTTTTTACAGTTATTTTTTATTTAGATTATAATATTAAAAACATCATTAATTACCGTTTTAATGTTCTTGGCACTAGTTAAGGATTGATCTTTGGTATATTTTCACTTGTTTGTGATTTTTCGATTGTATTGTGTTGATCTATTAACATTTCTCGCACCTCGACCATATTACTGAAGGACTCGAGATTAGGGGAGATTTTCTCACCTGAACTGTGACCGTAGTCATTTCTTTCCCTTACCTTGCCTCCGCGCTGACTTTTTCTTGTTCCACCTCTTCTTGTTCTAGAGGCGCGTCCTTTAGGTTTCTACTAACGCAAGCTTGACCCTTACCATAGCATTGGTAAATGTGATGATAATACCGTGTAGTTGGTGTGAATGGTTGAAGACAGTGAGATTTCCAGTTGAATGAATCTTTCATGATTGGAAATGACAAATTTTGTTCGTTGAAGTATATTTCAGATCTGGATAATTAGGATAAAGCATGTATACGACTGTTTCGACGCCTCTCTTCGTCATATCCGTTTTTCAGAAACCGGATTGTCCAAAGTGGTGGAAAGCAGTCATGGAATAAAGAAATAGTTACATTCTTTCGAGAGGATGAAGAATGTCCGAACCGACAGGATGCAAGTCACCTTGTTTTTCTGACATGAAGGAGAAGGTTGTGAAGATGCAAGATTTGTTTCCCCATGTGAGCTTATAGAACGCAAAGAGCAAAAGAACTAGAGTGTTGTGTCAAAAGTCCATGGAATTCCTAAACTTCCGAAGTAATATTGGAAGATGTTCAAACCGTTCCATGCATACCAGAATTGATTTTTATGGCTAGACGAAGAAAACATACTGGGTGCTCACGGTGTAATGTGTTTCCGTTTTTGTTGAAAGATGTTAATGACCATGTGTATAGCAATCAATTGTTCCTGGGATAGTGTGCCAAGACAAAACAGAACAGAAGTTCACCTCAAGCATCAATCAAAACGAGTTCAGAATACTCGCTCCCAGTTCTAAATTCTCGTCGGGATTTGGTGAACAGAAAAGGCGCTTTGAGAATTATCCCACACGTGTGTTGGACATTTTCGAGACGGAAAGGAGCGAACCTTCCAAGCGTGTTCGCAGAATCAGACAAGTCGCTCATGTTGTGTGGAATAATGTGCAAAGTGTTGCATTTCATTTGAGCACAAAGCCGTTACCAGACAGAATTAGACCGGATAAATACGCTGGTAGATGAAAGTATCACCGGAAGTTTCGAGATTCTAGCGTTACCCCGTTCACGAGGCTGGCCAGCCCCATTGTCAACTACTGTATTTCGAAACACGAGGTCTCCGAACACCAACCACCGAAAGTGGATCGGAGTGACGCGGGCAGTGAGCTATCTAACCAGCAGTAGAGAGGAGAGGGGAGAAGAATTTGCACGAACAACGATGCGAGGAGGAAAAACAGGAAAAGATGGTCTCGGTTACGATGCGAAGTGTCAGGTGGGACCGACATTGCCGAATACTGTAGGAGGCAGAATCCAAGTGATTTGCAGTGTGTATCTTTGTTCGATAATCTTACGTCAAGTGGCGAGTGAAAGTGGAAATCAGATGAGCTACATCAGCAAGCCCAACTTCCAAACTACAGTCATGCAACTTAGAACTGGGGTAGTGGACTTCTGTAGACCCCGTGTTAATTCACTTTGTCAGTATACGTTCTCTCAGTTCAGCGGTTACGTTTCTCGAATTCGAGGAAGGGGGTCGGGAGGTTTAGAACATCCCACGATGACCTTTTCAAATACTTCGCGGAATTAAATACGCTCGCGAGTATCATATTAGCTTTTCCTACCCTTTGAATCCATATTCAAATCCCTCCAAAAATCTGGGTCAGACAAGGTACCTTCAGCTCGATGCTGGTTGAGATTTGTGTCTGGTATTCAATCCTAGTGCTCTGCTTTTTGCACTCAGTAGAAATTTAAAACATTTATGCATGAACTCGGGTGGGGAAACCAACAATGAATGATGTATTTCCATTGAGCTCAAAACGAGTTGCTTCTTAACTGTTTCAAAGCCTCGGTCTTTAGTTCTGAACCTGCATGCATGAAAGTAAAAGAATTTCCTTGCTTTTATTCAGCCGTTCTGAATGGTTGAATGATGTTGTGTCAGATATGTAAACAAGAGAACTTTGCAGAGGAACAGAATGTGGAATGATCTTCTTCGTAAAGAGAGCCAGCCAACTCTGTAGAAAGGTGGTAAATCGAAGAGTTTATTACTTTCTCTATAAGTTAGAAATACATAGATGAAGGAGATGTAATCTCCAGAATCTTGAGATGATTGAGACTCAACAGATATCTTATGTATGAGTATCTGACGTGCAGTTTCATTCCCTTCTTTTATGCTTCGTGACGCGGGAAAGACACAACATGACTCCATATTTATTTTCTCCTTCCGTTTGAATATGGTGGCAGCCTGGAGAAGATGCTGAGCAAATGACTCACAATATTACCACCGATTGATGCGTTCCTGTTGCCAAGGATGTTGTGCCTCGTCTTAGCAGTCTCAGATGTGATTGCAATTCTTCGGTTGGTTCAGGTCACCTGTAGTAAATGACTGCCATGAAACACCGAGGTTTACTTCTATCAAAGTATAAATCATATCCATGTCGTGCACATAACCCGTATCCACCTTCATTAGAGTAAAATTCCGAAAATTAATTATATTCATCAGTCTCACCTTCTCTAGAGCAAACGACACTTATATCAGTACACTTTATTTCACGTACCATATGATGGTAACACTCCCATTCAACATTCTCATCTATTGGAAATCAAGATGATTCAATGTGGAAGACATCTTCAAGCGAAACAACTCCATTGTCGCTGAGTCATTTGTAACCAAGTACTGGAGTACTTGATAGCCCAGAAGATACTCGGAAGTCCTAATTTGGCTCATGAGTCTTCAAACAGGCAAAGCACTGAGCTTATTCGTGTGGAAATTCAGTGGTTTTAAATTATCATATGTCTGTCTCCTAAATTTTCTTTGAAGTTTTGTTAACAGATAGAGTAGTCAAGAAATAACCTTATCGGCAGGGGTACCAGTCTCACTCGTAAAGATTCCCAATCAGGAAAGGATTCTTCGGAGATTCAGTGATAAACTTTTCCGTTCGAGACGAATCCTACCTACTACCCCTTTTTTCCAGCCCATTTCTGAAAACCCTTATTATCCCGTAAGGATACTCTCGTACTCTTTATGTTATTGTATGGATTATGTACTTAACTTATATCTATCGCTATTGAGATGGAGCAAGAGCTAGTGTTACTCTTAATATACGTTATGTATATTCTTGTTGTGCGTAGACTGTTTTTATTTATCTCTTTCATAATAAATTAGGGGAGCGGCTAGTTATCTTCACTAAGGGTTAATTAGCCCTCACTCTACTGTATGGAATTATTTGATTGGTCCATGAAAGTTAGAGGGTTCGTGTATGAGTAACAACTATTTTCATCGAATCAAGAACGAACGTCTAGTAAGGTGAGTGTTAATTAGCGTTAAGTGAGAAATAACTAGCCACTCCCTAAATTAGCGGGAACTAAACTTCATCTTATAATACAATAAATCTGTCAGGGACACCGTGTATTATAAGAATTTAGCAATGTTTTTCATTGTGATTGTGGACGAACTGGTAGGTTTCATCCTCGTAAGGTTGGAAGTACTCTCCACATCCTTGTCGCTATCTTACTCAGTGTCCATCATCGATATCGATATTTAAGTTGGAGGATTTGAGCGTAGTGTGTACTAATGACATGTTGTTCTGCAGTTTAAACGACCACTTTTGAACACTACCGTGTCCCCCTGCGCAATTGGTGTTATTTTAAATTAGAGATAGCGTGATCATAAGTGTAAGAATGTAACCTATTTGATCACCGACAACACAGCACATCGTTCGTGAATCCACTAAGGTCCCCGTCGTGTTGAACTAGATGTATACTCAGATTCGATTGACTAGTTCAGACAGCGGTGCATCAACGTCGAGTTATGCACATTGGTTTGATGAATCGAACAAATTTTGTGATACTTTTACAGACGAAATCATGAGCTGTTGTATACGTGAGGAATATGGAGTTGGTATACATATAGACCTCGTGCTTCCTTCATGCTTCTTGGAAGTGGCAAGTTTGTCACCAAAAGCCTGTTTCTCGTTCAGAAAAGGTTCGTGGGGAATGTGGAGTTGGTATCTCTACAGGTGGAACTTGAACATCCGAAAGATCCAGACTTGTACCATACAAACTGGTTTCACTAACCTAACCTTGTCCCAGGTCTTGTTTGATACTCGCAAATGTTTGTGAGAAGTGGTTATGATTCAAGTTTCCAACTTAAAATTTGGTGTACATTTGTGCAGCTTAGCCTACAGCTTATTGGTGGCTGAGAGACGATGATCACCTCACAGCAGAGAGATGCTTCTGTATGCTAGACGCAGAATCTATAACATTAAAAAATTACTTGACTATTTCAGTTGAGGACAGATCAAGAAAGTGTATGAAGAAGCACCTTGTGCAACAACTAACTGAGAGCTACTGAACAGAGTTCAGCAGCCCTTGGAGTCCGAAACGAATCATAGTTTCAGATCCGGATTACAAAAGTGACACAAAGTGATGTTTTTCAACTTCTCACTTCGTATATTTTTTTACTTGGGACTTTTTACCTCGAAGGTCTGTGTATAAGAAACAAGATTCACTTTCTAACATTTTGACATAACAAACATCAAGTGCTCCGTTTTTTAATAGGAAAAGCAAGTGAAAATTAAATATGGGTGTTTCCAGCTTGTTAATTTGAACCATCTTGAGAATTCGAAAGGCCACTTGGTACTTTCTTCACGAGAATAAAGGTTGCTATTTCGGCCATTTTCTTTAATCAAATTCTAGCATGTGTTCAGTGGGAGAGTCAAGCTCAGTGTGATAAATGGATTCCCTGATAACAATATTCATTTCCGTAAAGTGGGAATTTCACGTTTTGATCAAGGTTTTCCGTTTAAATAAAGGGAAATTGAAAATATTGAATCACATCCACTCGACGGCCTGTCACCTAGAAATGTTCTCTACTTCAGACACTTGTCGTTCTCTGATTTCGTCTTTATGGAAGTGGCATAGTCATTTTGAAGGAAGAAAAACAGTTCAAAACAGGTGACTCCAATTCTATATAAGACCATATTGGGCAAAGTAGGCTAGACCTAAATAATATCACATTATATATCATGTATTACAACACCTCGGATATCTTTATTACAACGTCTTTCTGTCTACAAATAACAAAAGCATTATAAGCCGTATCCTGAATATATATATGTAGCGAAATTAAAGAATGTTGTCTAAAATATATTGCGTAAATGATAATTCTACGACTTAATTTGGAAATCTCTTACAATCTCTCAAATTACATAACCGAATGCTAGATTTTTAAAAATATGCATTCTTTGCATACCCATATTTATGAAGACTTCGATTGACCGTTCAGTCACAGCCCAAGGAAAGAGTGAGCGTGCATACAATGTGAACATCTTTTATCTTCTTACAATTGTTTTGAATGGAATTTGCCTGGAATGTAGTTGAATGTCTGAAGTGCTTAAGGTATATGTATGTATATAAAGATGTCACAATTGTCTCCTGAGTGTGCATTTTCTTATGCTTTTCTGGGGTGATAAAAAGTTCTTACTCTGCCCCTGCTGGTGTCAAAAAAAATTTCAACCAGGACTGTTCGACTGAAACTTTCCTTTTACATGTTTACGGCCACTCTTGATGGTCTGTCTTTTCACTTCTCGGGACGATAGAGCTTAAGAACCTCGTTGCGACCAATGGCATGCTCTTTCTTCTTGGTCTGCATAGTTTAATCCATCGATTGAGCGAACACCAGTGACTGACTGGTCCGGTCACTCTGCTTCATTACCAAACCTTCCAAAGTCCACTCTCACAAACTCAGGGTTTTCAAAACAATGAACACCACCTTTTCCTCTCTACTCGAGAAGCTGTATTTACCTGGGTACCTAAATTCATCTTGTTGTTGTTAGATCTTGATATATTTTATATATACAGATACTTTTACTGGTATGAAGAAAGCCTATGCTGACCACTGAGTACTTATTCTTCATTGTCATGTGGACGTGGTCTCATAAAAGCCACGACCAATTCAATCCAGACTTGTCGTCAAAAGACACGAGCTTTGAAGGACTAATGTTGAAAAGGGAGACCTTGTTAGTTCAAAGACATGCCTGAAGGAGAGAGATGGAACTCGGGCAGATCCCTTGCGACTATGATTTTCAAATTCCGTTATGATGTCTTGTACCGCACTCCAAGGATGTGGAAAAGAAGTGGCCACCACATGAACTGCTTACAGACATCACTCAATCTCGTGACAACTTTCCGTCCAACCTGCAGTGGTGAGTAATGCAGTAGTAATTCCAGCTGAGAATGAAATCTCAGATGCCCACCTAGTCTGCCTTACTCCAGTACCCTTTAAATGATGAAGAGACGTGGTTTCATGAGGACCGAGAGCACTTCAGCAGAAATTGACAACTTTCTGAATAGTCTCCCAAATATGCTCTTATATCAAAGAAATTCTAGAGTAGGGGTCATGAGAACTCGAAGCATTTTGCATGGCAAAGAGAAGTTGTTTCGATTCCCAGTCCTATCTAGTCGTCTGCTTTTCGTTTTATTACCTTGTACCCCGTCGTGCACGTTGGGAAGAAGTGGTAACTACCCGAAGTAGTACTTGCCTCAAACTACTTCTGCCATAAACCCCGTCCCGTTTGTTAGATCTGGAGTTTTCCGTCCACATGTCGCCTTCGTAGGGCCTGGCCTGGCACGACTTCCCTTTGTTCTGTCCTTTCGTAGCAGACGTACGAAGCATAGACGACCCTTCCCATTATCCATCCACTTTTCTAACTCGGCACGGCTCGTTTCGTCCATGATGGACAAGGACGGGCGCAACAGAGGCAGGGTCCGATGTTGTAAGAGAGCAGCTCTCCGATAAACATACTTTGATTTCAACTCTGAATTGGGGAAACGTACGAGAGAAGACTAATAAGTTGAATGGTACCGGCACCCAACCGTAACTAGTGCCCCTTGACTCTGTTTGAAGCATTTTCCATGGACCATGTCGGACGAGAGAAGAAGCTCTGGACCGAGAGAGAGAGAGAGAGAGAGTCAGGCAAGAGCCTTTTGTACCCTTTTACAAATTCAAGCATGCGAGGTGCGAGAGTTTCATAGTTTGCACGCCTCTCAGCTTCATAGTCAGCATACTTACTTTTCTTCCATTCTGAAGACAGATGTGGATGGATAAACTTGGCTCCTTTCCGAGCTCGAGCTCAATGTGTGGGCCGCTTCGACAAAGTGTATGGAGGGTGATTAATGAATATATTACTCGGGAATGGGGCCTCGAAAAGTCTCTTCGAGTCCTTCCTTCCACTTTTTGGTTCTGTTCATTCGCATGCACGAAGAAAGTCGCTGATGTTTCTTCTCACAGACATTCAGCCTCTCTCCGTCAACCATCCATCCGAGAGGCTCATTCGTGAGTGTCGACAGCTCTTGAATGACATGTTGGCGTGCGAGCCCCGAAGTCTACTCCTGGTACATGTACGGTCGAAGCTTTTCTTGTTCACTCGTGCCAGATACGATGGAACCGATCTGCCTTATCTTTTTTCTCTGATTCGAATCAACAGTTTGCCATCCAAGTTGCGGGATCTTGTACTTAAAAGTTCTTCGATTTGAACTTTCGTGGGAGACAGTGAAAGTCGAAAGTCGGACGAACCTTACGACTCTGAAGGTCAGCTACTGTAAGTGCATTTGCAGATGAACTACTCAACTGAGATCCCACACTCGGGGGCTTTTTTCCCTTCCTTTTATCCCTCCCGCCCTCCGCCTTGCGCCTTGGGAAGAGAAAATCATAACAATACCTGCCACATCCAAGTTGTTATGCTCCCCTGGTCACTCCAAAGCCCGTTCCTATTGTTTTCCCTCGGCACTCCATAAAGAAATATTCTTGGAATTGAGAACACCCCATTGACGTGCATTTGAGTAAAAGGCTGGTTTCCACGTGCTTAAAGCCAGCCTCTGAGCTTGGGAGCTCGAGTTGAACTATACGTAGTACAACATTGATAAGATGTTACAAAGTATCCCGAAATAAACGTGCAAAGTGATTCAAGAGAAAAGTTGTATGGAACGAGGACAAATCTCAGACAGCCTGGCTCACATTGCAACTCCTACAAAAGTGGCAGGAGCTATAGAATTGTCACGTTGTGGAGAATGTTTTGTTGAGTTTCGAGGCTCGCTGTGGAGATGGCCATCTCTGGGGAACTGTGTCAAGATATATTCAGGAGCTTGACAAAGTTAACCGCTTGCTCTGTCTGGCACATGAGAAATTTACTCAGAAACTGCCCATCTTCCATTGTTCTTAACAGCGTCCACTGTCCAGGTATTGTGTACGCTCTTGAATGGTCAAATAATGATCTCGCTGTGGGCCTTCTTTTGTCCCTTTGCTCATAAAGCCTCAGCCCCACCTTCACATTTTACCACCTACTTTCGTTGAAATTCCCACACTATCTGTTCTGGGGTAAGTCAGAAACAGAATTGTGTTTGCTACCACTCCCTCCCTCCCTTGGGAACTTTGGGTCTTACTAACGATGGCCGTTTAGTGCTCGAAGCAGATTATATCGAGAAGAAAACGTACAATCTGCCGAAGGGTGCGTAAGATTAGTCAGTCAGGTGTTGAGAAGTATGTATGACACTGACTGGAAAAGATGTTGTCGTTGAGTCATGATGTGTGCAGCTAGAAGGAAGATCCTCGTTTGACAAAGTCATGATGGGGGTTCAGCAAGGGAAGAGTGGTAGGCACGATTGGCGGAGAGGTTTGACAATGATGATAGATGGATGGATAGATGGGCGTCGATTTTGTTGCTCATGCTCAGAGGAATATGCAGTGAAGGGGGTGTAATGTTGTCGATGGCGAAGATGACCGCTCGCCAGAAGACACAGCTCCCTGTCTGAGGCCAGATCTTGTGACACAAACGGACATGGCGGATCCGTGTCAAGCTCACTGTGGAGTGGATCTTGCGCGTACGTCTCTTTGCTTCGTGACACCTGCTACAGACCTTCCCTCGCCTCCCCTCCCTGGAGTACATAAAGGACATGCTCTTCCTCTCTCTCTCTCTCTCACCTGCTGCTGCCATCCACGAAGCCCAACACGAGGTAATGAGGGTGCTGCTTGCTTGTTGTTCTGATCCACGGCGTCCCACCTCCACCACCACCCTCTGCCATGCTTGAGACGGCCTCTACTTCCATTGATTAGTGGAAGTAAAATTAGACTCGTAGTAGAGGAGGGAGGGAATTTTCAGAACGTTCACGTGCACCTCCCTCGGCGAGATGCCCAACGGCAGATGCAGATATTGATTGTGGAGCTGGCTTGCCGGACTAACTCACTGACTGACTCTTTGCCAGCTGCTCTGCTCTGCTCTGCCCTGTGCTGCTATGCTCCGGTACAGAATTTAAGCGAAGTTTGGAAGTAGTGGGAGTACGTCTGTGAAGGTCAATGAAGAGCCGAACTGTGCAGCAGCAGCAGGGGTTACACTTTCACTCGATGGAATTATCGAGCGAGCCGGTGATCATGCGAACTAATCATTACGCAGATAATCAGCCACTGGAATGCTTTTGGGGCGCATCGCCACCCCACCCGCACTGAGTCCGAGTCGAGGCCGAGAAATGAGAACAGTGAAATCATGAGAATGTACTGTATTCTTTAACAGACCGAGGATGATGAGAATTAGGTCCTCCTTGTAGAGTTAGAACATGATTGCGAGCACAGGGCACAGGGCATGGATGGATTATGTCCTCAATCAAGCCCCAGGTCCAGTCCAGTCCAGCCAGGTACGGTGCCGTCAGCTCTGACCTCCTGAGCTTCTCTGCCTCTCTGCTACTCTCTGGCAGAGAGAGGCAGAGAGGCAGGAACGTCCGTTGTAACGTACAACAGCGTTGGATCGGTCTGTACCTCGGAAAGAATCATCGTGGACGTGAGAAATTAAATACAAAACTCCTCCTTAATGGATTTAATATGAGGAATGGCTGCCCGACTGACTGGCTGTCTCTCTGACTGACTTGCGGGACGCTTCAAAGAACGACAAGCAGGCAGGGCAGGCAGACAAATAGACGCAATCGACAATGCGTACTTTCGAAATGCAAGTGACCTGCTCAGTTGATTCTTCTCTTCTCCTCCCCCTCTCCTTGGGGGTGCGGTGCGGGGAAGAGCGGGGTGCTGGGCTCAGCTTGTGAGGCATAGATTCAAACGGTTTTCATCTACTTTTGTCCCTTGTATCCTCGTTTCTGCTCCTTTTCTTATCTCCATGCGCAGCGACTGTAGACGAACGGAAAGTCACATTGTTAGTGATGGCGATGGTGAGGTCATCAAACGGTACTGTCTTCTGCTGCTCCTTTTTCCCCTCAAAACGAGGCACCATCCGCTGCGTTTCGTCCGTGTCGGCGAGGAAGCAGAAGACCATGGATGTGGGTCATAAAGTGCCATGTGGGAGCTGATTCCGTCCTAGCGTACATCTCTCGAAGCTTTGAACCCGAAGCCTGCTTCAGGTCGTACTTCATGTCATCCATGCTCTCTCACTCTCTCTCTCTCTGCTTCCCCAAAGCTTCACACAAGTTACATGTTTCCTCACGAAACTAGTTTCCAGAGTCCTTGCTGTCCACAATCATTCCATTGTCTTGGATATTTAGCTTCAGACCATCGTATTCTCTTTCCTTCAATCGCAGTTAGTCATCTGGACGTGACGCTTTTTCACTCCGTGAAGTCCCAATTCGCCCTGGACCAGAGAAGAGCAGACCTAAGCATCTGCATCTGCACTCTCAGAGGTTTAATCAGTTGCAGGATTGGTTTATTTCCACGCCTCACACGCATCTATGAGCAAATTCGTTCTCCTCTCTCCTCTGCAGCAATATTCAGATAAAAGCATCATTCCTCCACTGATGGCATAGCTTGGACCGGCAGCTATTGCTCTGAAACCCATAAGTACATCGGCCTGCAATGAAGTCGGGTGATCTTCATTCTGCCAAATTAGTCCTACTTTTGTTTAGGGGCTGTGGCAGGTGAACTTTCCATGCCCTGGCTGTTAAAAGTCTGAGATTGGAAGTCAGCTGTAGATTGCTTTAAGAAAGTGTGCACAGTTCTGATACCCACCACTTAATAACATCTGCAGCGGCAGGTCTACAATCTCGTCCTGTCGATTCAGGAAGTCAAGTGTTCTGAAGAGTAAACAAAGCATGTTCACCGCTGTACCTTGGAACACCGTATCATCTTTTCCTAGTGGCTGGGGTTCCTTCCTGCCTTCGCTCGGCCCCAGACATATTCTTTATTGAGCTTTTGCTCGGCCCCAACCTTCGCTGGTGCTTGGCAGGTCAAATAACTGGGCCAAATGGACAAGCCAAGCCATTCGTTTCCTAACATGAAAGAATCATCTCATCACTGTACTGTCAAATAATTCAGAATGTTTTTGCTTGCGAGAGGTCGATTACCCCCTCGACCTGCAGTAGGATAAATCTTTGTCCCTCTGTTGCCATGCACTCTACGCAACAAGTCCACTTCAGCTCAGCCTACCTCCCTGCCTGCCTGAGTGCATGGATGCCAGACCATCTGCATTTGGCATTCCATCCTTCCATCCATCCTCTCTTCTAAGTTGAGCACAACGTAACACTCCTCATCTTCAGCAACCGAGAAGCGCTTGCGTTTAGTTGAGGAGGTGTTTACCTCCTCACCAAAGCTAGGATTGATAGTTAAGTGTCTGAATCTAATAAACAAATCCAGGTTACTTTTAAGACCCAGAAGAGCCGTAAGTCGCCTTCTGCTGCACATATATTCAGCCGAAAATGGCTTTGTAAATATAAAGCGAAACGGAAACGCAAGCTTTCATCGAGAAAAGCAATGTGTGAGTGACATGAAGGGGTCATGCATGCCCAGAGAACATCGTCTCCTCGATGAAGTGCGGTGCACCCTGGTTGCAAGTTGTGTGCCTATGCTTAACACGATTTGGAACGGCGGATCTGTAACAAGCACGTCGTGGGTTACAAAGAAAGGTCTTATGACCACTCTGAAGACTGATGAAGCGAAAGCGTTTGCAGCAGTTAGAGATGTCCTCGAGGTCACGAGTTGGTTGGTTCCAGGGGCTGGCTTGGCTGGCTGGAGTTCATCTCTATCTCTCTCTCTCTCTCTCTCTGAGCTACAATGCTGCGGATGGCGCCCGCCCGCAGCTGGACGCGAGAGATGGTCTTCTGTCCTAGCGCAGACAGCAGAGAAGGCGGAGCAGAGGGAAGGAGGGAGTTGAACTACCGATCGTAACTGAGGCAGGACAGCTCTGGGCTGCACCGAGCCAATCGATAAGGCATCAATGAATGCAGGTCGGAAACTTTGTGAGCTCGGCAGACATGTTCATCGAGTGAGGAGTGGTGAGTGCCAGGCCCGTACCAGTTATCCACTTCCCACCTCGGAGGTACACAAACAACATATTCTTGCCCCACATTCACGCAGCAGCAGATTCATTGCGCCGAGGTCCGAGGTCCGACCGCTGACCGCTGGCCGTGACACGTCCCCAAACCCTTGGGCCTGCGTCTCGCTCGACATGTTTCATTATGACACGGGCGAAACTCGAGACCTCGTTGTCGTTCGAGCATCTCGACGGATCCCGATGTCCCCGAGCGAGCGAGCTCTCCCTTGCTCTGCTCAGCCCTTCTCCTTCTCCTTCTCGCTGCTGCTCCTGCCGGCCATGTAACTATGTGTATGATAAATATAAACGGGTGGACAGACTTGATGCCCATAGCAGGGTACGAATGATTCTGAACTCGGTGATCTACGACATCGCATTTACTTTTACCATCGTGATGCTGGTGCTGTTGTTGCATCATAGATCCGCAACGCATCCTCTCACACCACATCCTCCAACCCCATGAGCGTGTCGAGTGTCTACTAAAAACCCCCCGTATTCTCCACAAGATTGATGAGTTCGCATCCGTCCACCCAATATCTACTCGAGCTCGAGACCACAATCTAAGCCGACCACCGCCCAAATCGTTGCAAAGGCTGATTTCGCCACTTTTGACTTACGTGTGCTCGTTCCTTCGACTTCGTGATCGTCTGTGTGTGTTTGTGTGTGTGTGAATGCTCGATTCAAAAGCACCTCACGACAATACGAAGAAAAAGAGTGAATTTCCAAGCATTCTGACATTTCGTCTGATCCGAGCCTTACTTGAGTCGGTCCATCGAGTAGAGATGGACCGAACCGTAGAAGTTATCCACTTTCGAGTCTACCGTTCAATCGTACCCCCCCATTTCTCGTGCTCACAGGCCTTGCTTCCTTGGGGAGGAGCTTCTAGGCGATGCGTTACGTTACCCAGCGTGGCGCCAAATATCAGTTTAATCGGTCGGTCCCACGTGTCGCTGCATTCTGTCAGCAGAGTTCCATTTCCATTTCCATGCCCGAGGGCCGAGTCGAGCTACTTCGACAGCAGCAAACAATTCATTCCTAGTTTAGGGATCACGTCTTCTTCGATATCAACTCACTTTCTCACGTTGCTGTCGGTTGATTTCATATGCAGGTAATTTATCCCTGCTTTGAAAGGTAATCTAACTCTCTTGCGTTCTCTTGCAAACATTAGATTTATCGTATTTTTGAAATCAAAATTTTCTTCTGCGTAATGAAATCTTGAGCAAAATAGTTCACGAAAAAAATACTTCGTTTTGAAAATTTTAAACCTCCAACAAATTAAAAATTATGCATGATTTCTAGAGTACACCTATACATGTGTATTAAAAAAATTAGAACAAAACACCATTTATGGAATTAACATTATTGTATTCTTACAATATGTATAAAAAACGGAGTCATATATAGATTTTATAAATCTTCGGTTTGTTGAATCTCGTCATGATACTCTCTTTCATTCTTACAGTGTACTGATTTATTTAATCATATTTATAAAAATTATCAATGTTTAGGTTATATAAATGTGAATGTAGAAGCATCATATTCCACACAGAATTCACCACTTCTCATATTATGCATGAGGTTGTAGTCTGAGGTGATCAAATATTATTTACTTATGATTAAAATATCAAATTTTGAACTCAAAAATATTTGAAACTAGAACACATATTGATACAGATATTAGTCTACATAATTACAAAATAATTAGTGCACTAAGTCTTTTTTTAGCTTAAAAAAGAAATAATAATAATAATTAAATAAAAAATGATGACATATTAATTCATTGTCCATAAATATAAATTTTCCCTAATTATGGTATAGAATTCTATATCACATTTGAAAATTTTCTCACATAATTGTTAATGACTATAAAGAAAAAACTTAACAAATCTCAGACATGTAACACCGAATGCAACCAAGAAATACAAACGCACTTACACTCACAACCAACATTAAACGTGATTCACCACAGTGTACTATGTCCACTTTAAAACTCAACTTAAATCCAAAGAAAATCCTAAAAACTAAAAACTAAAAACTTTGATGAGCTTTCTTTCTACTGATACTATACTCCTTATATCAACAGAGTTAATACAACTAGGTTAAATCAGAACTTGAATTAAGTTTTAATAATCTACTCTTTAACTCATGTCTTGGTAAAAGTATGTTATATATATATATATTTATTTATTTATTTATTCTCCTCCAAGTTTAAGAAAGAAACCTAACGACTGTCACTCCCAGAAATACTGCAAGTGCTCAACTCGGAGGTCACTTTGAGGACACACAGTGCAGCGTAGTTCACCCCAACACACACATGAAACTATAAAAACACAACTCAGAGGTCGGTTAGGACCTCCACTTAAGGTTTAGGGGAAAAGTTTCTCAAGAGTACACTCAGAGGATCTGCAAGTAGTGTTCCCCAACTCCGGATTGTTAACTCTGACTGCTAGTGCAGAGCACCCGGGTTGGACTTCCTACTTCGGATGCGGTACCTTCGTCAAACCGAAGTCACTCTCATGCGGTGAACAACACACTTAACTCACAAAACGCGCAGAGAATACAGGCACCGAACTGAGAAACTCAACTGAGAAAAGATCTAGTGTCACACCATAACAGTCTATTGACGAGTTTGAATTCTCAGGCACTAGTCATTCCCAGAAATACTGCAGAGGCTATCCCCGAAGGCGCATCAAGCAGCGTACAACCTGAATTGTTAACCAAGGTAACAAAACTCGAAGTAACAAAACTTCACTTTGGCATTCAGGGGGAAAAATCCCGAAGGAGTACAAACAGGAACAATCACCCGAAGGTGTAAGTCCGAACTGCTCAAGTATCTAACCAGGCACTAGCTTTGAACATTCAACAATCACTCCAAAGGTGTATGTCCGAATCGCTCAAGTATCTAACCAGTACACTAGCTCTGAACATTCGGCCGAAGGCCTTCAGCTACAAAATGCGGTAACTTCGTCTAGCTGTAGCTCCTCTTGCGTGGTGACAGAATTATGGACACAAACGCGCAGAGAAAATGAGTTCCTAAACTGCACTTCCGAAATTGGAAAATCTCCAAGGCAAAACGCCTTGAACTACTTTATACCTTCTAAGATCTAACTAACACTCTACTCTACGCTACACTCCATGTCATCTGCTATGCCTCCTGTGCGAAGGACGACAGCGCACTACGTCTCTACCAGACTAGTCTTCTGCTCTACTGCGCAATCCCAGCCGCCGCAACACCGCAGTCACCTCTACCTCGAGGTTCGCAATGGCGTCACGCGACCTCGCCAGGAAGGCATCTAATCGCTTCGCCACTCGCCGTCGGCTCCGAATGTCGCCCAACATCAAGTCCGCCGCACGAATCTCTAACTCGCGCAAGGTGATTCTCTCCTGCGCAGCCACTTCCCAGCGAGTGTAAACTCTCAGACATCGGTTCACTCGCTCTACCAACTCTTCTCGCGTGCAATCTGTCGCGCGCCGGTTGTCGCCTTCAATCTCTACCAACTGCAGCTCTGCCTCCGCACGCTGCGCTCTCAATTCGTCGCACTGCGATTGCAAGCGACGCAGTAACTCCTCATCTGCCTGGCGTGCGATCAGACACTGCTCCAGCAACCGTGTCTGCCGCACGAGCTCCCGCCAGAGTGCTATTCTGAGCCCGCTCAGAATCGAACTCCGCCTCGAGCTTCTCCCGTTGCTTCTCAAATTCTTTCTATGCCTCGGCCACCTTTTCATCGCGCACCTGGTTCACTACCTTCTGCAATTTCCGCGAGAGTGCGAGGTGTCCGTGCAGGGCATCGTTCTTCAACTCCAACTCCCTGCACCTGTTGTCCAGGGAAGTCAGTACGGGGCTCGTCGCGACTTTGGTTCGCGTCCGATTCCGCACCAATTCGACGTAGGATCACCGATGGCGGAGATCCCACGTCGAATCCTACTTCGCCACCTTGCGATCAATGTACCGTAGTAGTGGTACCACCTGCTCGCACAACACTCATGTCGGCGTGCCTTGCACCGACTTCACTTCCTGCTCCTCTGAACTTGATTCATCCTCTTCATCCTCTGAATCGAGGATCTCTGTCGCCACAGAAATCCTCGGCGATTCCCGGGAATTGGATTGCGTGGCTTCTGCTGTCGCGACCACTGCTCCAATCTCGGCCAAGATATCCAATGCGGTGGGAGATCTGGATTCCGGCAAGTCCGCTCCTCCTACCCGATCTGCTACCGCCGAAGGCGACTGTGCGGAAGGCACACGTGTCTCCTCCTTCTGGCCTTCGTCCGTGGCCGATCTCTCAAGTTGGGCCTGCGCCGAAGGCCTTTAAGCCGAAGGCTCCTCCCCATTCTTCTCTTGCGCCGAAGGCGCTTGAGCCGAAGTCGAATCATCGAATGGTACTTGCTCAGAGGCGAAGCACCTGTCTGTCGCCGGCACGCTCGTCGGTGCCGCATGATGTCTTCCTTGGCCCGAAGGCCTTCTCGCTTCCTCCGAAGGCGTCCGTGCCTTCGGTGCAGGAAGGTCCGCTGACCTCTCTCTAGCTCGTGCACTCGCATCCTCCCCTGAGGATGGCGAGTTTCTCCTCTCTACAGCTCGTCCGGTGTGTGCACTGCTTGCCTTCAGGAGGAGCCTGCGAGCCTTCTGCTTGGGACGACTGCAGAGCTCCTGAATCGTTCGCGTTCGACTGGGAGCACCAGCATCGTGTTGCTGACTCTACTCCGCCTCTCCACCCACTTCCACTTCCGCGGCACTCGTGCTGCGTGCGGTTCTTCCTCTGCTCTCGGTTGAGCTGGTGGCGTGCAGGCGGGCGTCTAGTCTTCGTCGGTGTCAACTTCGACATCCTTCACATATCGACCCGGATTGCTGCGGGACAGCAAGGGAAACTGCACTCGATCCGAGGTTGTTAAGCATCCCATCGACCGATAGAAATTGATCAAGAAAGGGGAGAGGTGATTGATCGACCCCCCCTTCTCCTCCAGCGCGTGCTGTCTCATCGCCTTCCAAAGAATCCAAACCCAATGAATTGGAGCTCCAGCCAACGCTAGCTCCACGAACCTCACCTGCCAAAAAGTCATGTAGGTGGTCCGGTGCGGCTGCAAAAGTTGGATAAGTGCTACCGCGACATTCCTCCGCAAGCGATCCTTGTAGTCACGGGTCTTGTACCCGTTCTTGCTTGACTTGCTGTGCTTGAATAAGGCCCCGAAGGAAATCTCTTCCTCCTTCGTGACATGCACACTCTCACACTCAAAAAGAAGATGGCCTTCTTCCCCCGCGCACCTTCCCAACACCTGTTCCCGATCGCTGACCTGCCATCGCTCCGGATGCGGTCGGAATCCGCGCGAAAGTTGATCCCTATCCCGCAGCCACTCGCGTACCATCTCCGGACATACCCAATTCCATCCCCATAGGAGGAAACCGAGCCTCACCGCAGTCAGCTCGCACTGGAATGCGCGCATACCAATCTGCGGCAATTTCAGCGGAACCATCCGCAGCTGCGTAGCTCTCGACATTGCGTTCTTGAACTCAGGTAGTGTACGTCGGAAGTCTGTGCAAACTCGCTGCACTTTGTCTCTAATCTTCTTGCGCGCGGACTCAATCACTCCGCGAGCTCTCCGCAAGTTCTCCACAAAGCTCTAGCAAGAGCCTTCTTGCTGCGCACTCAGCTGCTGCACACTCTGCTGCAACTACTCTCTAGACACAACCCTCTACAATTCTCTCCGCCGATTCTCTGCTGCGCAGCACAAGCTCGAGCAAAATCAAAATCGAAAATGCAAGAATGAGTCTTCTTCCTTCGGCGATCAAGATTTCACCGTTCGACACTTGGGAGTGGGGGTCGACCCACTTGATTGCAGCGCCGGCGTGGAGGCGTAACGACCTCCTTCGCACGCTCGACTTCACGCTC